AGAAATAAAAAGTTCACAAATCAGAAATGAAGGAATATAAATGTTCTTATTTGATGATGTGTTTATGTTAAAAAACTGCAAGAAATCGACAAAGCCTCTTACAACTAATATGTGAACTCAGCAAGGTTACCGGATATAAGACAAACATACAAAAATCAATTATATTTCTACATACTAGCATTGAATACTCGGACCAAAACTAAAAGTACAATATGATCACTTAAAAACAGAGAGAGAGAAGGGCGCCTGGGTGGCTCAGTCTGTTAAGCTTCTGCCTTCGGCTCAGGTCACGATCCTGGGGTCCTGGGATCGAGTCCTGCATGGGGCTCTCTGCTCAGTGGGGAGTCTACTTCTCCCTCTCCCGCTGCCCCTCCCCCTGGCTCATGCTCTCTTGTGCTTGCTCTTTGTCTCTCAAATGAATAAATAAAATCTTAAAAAGAAAGAGAAAGAGAGATATTTAAATGTAAATCTGACAAAACATCAACAGGACTTATATGCTGGAAACTATATAACCCTGATGAAAGAATCAAAGAATATCTAAATGAATAGAGAAACATAATGTGTTCATGGACTGGAAGACTCAACATCGTAAAGATGTCAGTTGTCCCCAAATTTATACACAGGTCTAATATAATTCCTATCAAAATCCCAACAAGACCTTTTTGCAGATATAGACAAGACTATTGTAAAATGCATATAGAAAAACAACAGAACTAGAACAGCTAAAACAATTTTTGAAAAAGAACAAAAATTGGAGGAATCAGTCTCTTCTATTTCACGAGTTCATACGTAGCTACGGTAATCAAGACTGCACAGTATAAACAGATGTACACGCACAGAGATGAGTGGAACAAAATCAAGAACCCAGAAAGAGACCCACACTGAACTGACTGACAGAGATTGACAGAGATGCAAAAGAAATTCAAAAGAGGAAGGATAGTCCTTCCAACAAATGGGGCTGAAGCAACTAGGCAGCCAGAGGCAAAACAAAAACAAAAACAAACTGAATTTACATTTCTCACCTTATAAAAAAAATTAACTCAGAATGGATTTTTTTGCTAGGCAAGTAATGTGCCCATCAGGGAAAATGCTTGTACATGTTTCTTTGATCACATATGAGGACATTTCTCTAGGACAAAAACCCAGAAGTAGACCCGAAGCATTGAAGGTATGCCAGTATTGTTGATTGGCCAACCAATACCTGTTCCCACCCATTTCTAATCATCTCATGCCTCCCATAACAAACTCACTTCGCTTGCAGCTAGGGGTGGCCATGTGACCCAGTTCTAGCTAAGTAAACATCAGCAAAAGTTTGCTGAGTAGTCCCTAGGAACGTTTATTGCTTTCCAGGTAAAAGGGATAGACATGACTGGCACTGTCCCTTTTTTCTGCCCTGAAGGTGGCTGTGGTTTTTGGAGGGGTGGCAGCCATGAAGGAAGGAAAGCCTAGAGAATCACTGTGATGTCAGTCCTGCTATCAATGAGTTGCTGAACCAAAGCCAGCAGGAGCTTACCTCTAGACTATTTGTTATGTGAGAATAAACTCCTATTGGTTTAAGCCATAGTATAAGCCTGATTTTCTTTTACTTGCAGCCAAATGCGTTCCTAAAGAATTCAGTACTAAAATACTCTCTAAAAAGTCTGTACTTATTTTATTCTCTAACAAAAGTCTGTAAGAGTGTCCATTTCCCAAAACTTTTATTTACTTTGTTGTCATTTAAATGTTCAGCCAAGCTGACGCATGAAACTATTTCACATGAAGAAGAGCATCATTTCATACATTTATCGAACAGATTTCCTCGTCTATGACTTCCTTGTTTCTATCTCCCTTGTCCACTTTTCTGCTGTATTGTTTAGCTTTTTCTTATGATTTTTCTCTTATTGATTTGTAAGAGTAAATTTGTAGATAGCAAAGCAGACTGAGTTGAATTCACATGGAAATCTGTCTCTGCATCTTTATATTATCAACCCAATCCAACACAAGTAAGAAATACATCTTCCCTGACAGGCCAGGCTGACAGTGACAATCTTGACAGTCATCTTCAAGTAGTGCACCACCACGTGGCAATGTGTCAAGAAGTAATTCAACTCGGGCAAAACACCATAGCCCATATTTATTAGTACTTTTTTTTTTTTAAACAAATCTACACCTAAAGAAAGGCTTATGGAATAGTGGCACACCAGGCAGAGTCCTTAATGTACATCATTTCATTTAACCCTCATATCAAATCCAAGAGTAGCATTTTTATTCCTGTTTCACAGAATAAATAATGAAAGTAAGTTTTTAAAACCAATAGTTTCTTGGGGCGCCTGGGTGGCTCAGTCGTTAAGCGTCTGCCTTCGGCTCAGGTCATGCTCCTGGGGTCCTGGGATCGAGCCCCGCATCAGGCTCCCTGCTCGGCAAGAGGCCTGCTTCTCCCTCTCCCACTGCCCCTGCTTGTGTTCCCTCTCTCGCTGTCTCTCTCTCTGTCAAATAAATAAAATCTTAAAATAAATAAATAAATAAATAAATAAAACCAATAGTTTCTTTCCTACCACAAAAACTTACAACATTCCAGGCCCCATAAACAAAAACAAAGTGATTAAGTGTTTACCTAAAATTAAAAGTAAGTAAACTATATTGTGCCTATCTAAATAGATCAATGTGCTTAAGCTAGAAACACTGCTGAACCTGTTCAGTGGATTAGGAATCTGAAGAAGCTGTTCCAAAGTCTGGCCATGAAGTTTATTGCCACATTGTAATTGACCAATTTTTCTCCCATTTTTTAAAGTGAAAAGCTGAATTGAGCACTATTTTAATGCTTCAGCAAGAAAAACCTATTATAGCTAGCCACTCCATCCCAGAGCAGCAAGTATTCGCCTCATCAGTTAACAATCAGCCGACCTGACACTAGAAAACAAACAAAATAAGCTGTTAAAGATAATAAAAGATCGTCATGAAAAGCAATGTAAACAGGTTGAAGAGAACAAGCACCATCCTTGAGTATTTGTACATGGTTGGATTTTGGCTAAACTGACTCTACTTTAAAAAGCCTAGCAGCTAGAGGAAGAGAGAAAGTTGGGGAGGATCCCGCTCTTGGACTCAGATTGGGGGCAGCAGGAGGGCTGAGACCCTGACAAATATTTCCCTCCTTTATGCCACACCTCTCCTTGCAAGAGCTGTGGATTCTCTCTCTGGCAAAGCATCACACAAAGCAATCAATCCGGAGTGGGTGAGAAGCACAGATATCAAACCACCCTCATGCCTCCCACTAAACCTTCCCCAAGAGGACACACCCAGCCCAGAGCTTACATGCCAGGGCCCCAAGAACTGACAGCCCCCAATGGCAGGAACCTATGTGTTGCCCACTTGGGCCCCAGGCAGACATAAGAGATTCACCTGAAGCACCCTCTTTGCATAATTTTTTAGCCAGTTTGTGAGGCACAGAAAAAATGCCTGGGGGAGTTTGATTTCTATTTCTACATAAAAGAAAACAAGTCTGTAAACACACAAGGTTTATGGTCTACAAAAGTGCAAATGGTTGATAAATACCCAATCTGAGGATACCTCTGGCGCTTTCTTGCATTTTCCAATGGGCTTGCCCAGTGGTCCCTGCTTGGAAAGAGACAGAGGCTTGTTTTCTCCCACCCCATACCCCTTCCTCAGAAGGGCTGCACACCTCACCCCACTGGCACAGCAAGGGTGGTAACACATGGAAAGAAATCTGATTCTTTCCCAAAGTTGGCTGTGGCCAGGGAAGGCTGGGTGAGGGGAGGGTGTCCTGGTGGGCTGCTCCTGACATCAATCCAGGTGTTTTGGGGGCACACAGCAGGAAGAGAGGGAGGCAGGGCTTTAGTCACCAGAACAGAACAAGCCAGATTCCTCAGCCCTTCAAAACCTCAGGACAACTCACTAGAGGGACAGTAAGCAGGGCATATGAGAAAAGGGGACGCCAAGTCTCAGAGAGGGGCAGAGACACAAAGAAGAACCAGAGGGAAAGAGAAGACGGTGTTGGGGTCAAATGTGCTAAAATAAAACCAGGCATTGCAGCACAGAGGGAAGGGACACACCTGGCACCCTAAGGGCTCTCTGAGTGCCCGTTAGAGGCAGGCCCTAAAAGGGCCCAGGGAGAACCAGACCTTGCTGGCACTCCCAACAGGCTGGTGTCACTGAGACTACACAGTAGCAAAAAGGGGGACGGCTTAGGCACTGCCCATCCCCCTCCTTCCCCCCCAGGACTTGCACCACCAACTAAAACACCTAGGCACACAGCCTCAATGGTGCACACCTGCGACACAAGGCGCACAGCCTTCCTGTGTATGAGTGCACAAACACATACACCCTTCCCGTCCATGGACACAACTTATTCAACCTGCCAGCCCACACTGCACACACACACAAACTCCGTCAGGAGGGAACACATATATAACCCTTCTGCAGGCTCACGCTCAGGCAGACACACACATACCTACTCCACAACCTCTTAGTCGGCTACATACAAAATCTCTACATAAGGTACATACAAAAACTCATGGCCTGGCAGGAAAACCTGCACTCACAACCTCTCTGGTAGGTGCATACACACCCTTACAATCTCAGTTGGTGTGTGCACACACACATAAGTGCGCACTCAGAATCCACCAGGCACATATACACACTCACAACCTGTCAGGTGCACAGCATACTCAGCACCTCTCTGGTAGGTGCACACCCCCGTACCACCTCTCAGTCTCATGCACACACAAAACCTACCAGGGCACACGCACTCACAGACTGCCAGCAACACACACACACTCACAACTTCTCGGTCAGCGGAGCGCAAACCCAAACTCGCAGCCCCTCAGGGTCACCGCCACCCGCTCACAGCCTAGCCCGCGGGCGCACCCCCACACCCACGCACCCTCTGGCGCGGGCGCACCCCTCCCCCAGGCCGGGACAGGCGCACGGCGCCCAACTCCGGCAGCGGCGCGGGTAGTGCGCCCGCCCCCAGCCCGCGACCGCCCGCCCGCGCCGCCGCTCACCTTTCTCGCTGGCGCCCCGCGCGCGGCCCTCGTCCTCCTTGGGGTTGGTCACCTGGGTGA